CTGGCTGGCATGTGGTGCTGGGGGATTGAACTGTGCTCCCTGTGCTTTGCTAAGCTTGTTCTAAGTAGGTGCTTTAGACCACTGAGCCATCTCACCAGCTCCTTTTAAATCTGCTCTTCTTTTTTTTTGCGGAACCGGGGATTGAACTCAGACCCTTGCGCTTGCCAAGGGTTTATTCCACTGAGCCATATCTCCAGCCCCTGGTCTATACAGTTCAACTCACTGTGTAGCCCATGCTGGCCTTAACTTTTCAGTGATCCTCCTGCCTCAGCCTCCCAAATGCTGGGATGACAGCTGTGCACCATCATGCCAGGTCCAGCTGAGGATCTGTCCAAGTTGGGAATAGGGTGGGCTCCCTATAGGCTGGTACCCACCAGGAACCCTGCTCATGGTGCCCCACAGAGGAGGACTTCGACTGGCCGACTGCCTGCATTGAGTTGGAGCAGCACCTGGCGCGCTGGGCTGAGGATGGGCGCCGGGCCGAGTACTTCTGCCTGGCTGATGGACACTTTGCTTCCATTGACTCAGTGCTGCTGCTTCAGGTGAGGTGGGCTCAGTGTGGGGCCAGGCACAGGAGTGCCAAGGAGGCCCCAACAACATCTTCTGCTGCCCTCCCAGGGTGGGACGCTCTGTCTGTCAGGCTCTCGAGATCGCAATGTCAACCTATGGGACCTGCGGCAGCTTGGGGCAGAGCCTAGCCGGGTTCTGATCAAGGCCTTGGGCACCCAGAAGGGCAGCACCCACAAGGTGAGGGGCTATGGGGGTGGGCAAGAAGAGCGGGTATGTTCTTCTAGCCAAGAGCCTGGGCTTTTGTTGTTTTGAGACAGGGTTGTGCCATGTAGCCCAGTTGGCCTGGAACTCACTGTGTAGCCTAGGCTGGCCTCAGACTCACAGTGATCCTCCTGCTTCAGCCTTCCTAGTGATGGTATTATAGGAGTGTGCAACCATTCCTAGCAAGAGCCTGGGTTTTGGTGCCAGACTGTAGATTTGCATCTGGCTCTCTACTGTTGTGTGGTTTTGGGTGAGATGTGATTTTTCTTTGCCTCACTTTCCATTTTTGTCCAGTGGGCAGTGAGGATAAAAATGAGTGAATATGAACTGAGGGTTAATATGGGTGTGTTAATCGCAGGCTTTGACATACAGTAGATGCTTAATAGCTAGCTGTACCTTGAGGTGCCCTTTAGGAGGCAGTAAGAAGGCTGCCTTTGGGGACCAGAAACCCTCAGCTCTTTCAGAAGTGGCTGAGAGCCTGGCATGATGGTGTTTGAGGTCAGCCTGGGTTACATAGCAAGACCCTGTCTCAAAACAAGCAAGCAAAAAAGTGACATGAGTGGGGCACCTCCATCAGTCATCAAGATGGTCTAGGTGCACGGCCATCAGATTAAGTCCTAGGTTCAAATCTCCACTCTGTGCATGTAACCTTCAGCGAGAGACTAAGTCTCTGTGGCTCAGTCTCATTTATATTTGAAGAGGGGTTGATGAGGAATAATTTGTTGTTGTTTGTTTTATGTTTTGAGGCAGAGTCTTGTGTAATCCAGGCTGGCCTTGAATTTGAAATCTCCTGCCTTAGCATCCCAAGTGCTGGGATTACAGCCCCGTACCATTCTGTCACATCCAGCTGAGGCTGCATTCTTTTTTTAATTTTTTTTATAATTTTTTTTTTTTTACATTTATTTATTGTGTTTGTGTGTGGGGCCAGCTCAGCCCACCAGGGGGCGGGGCTGGCTGGCATGTGGTGCTGGGGGATTGAACCGCAGTCACTGTGCTTTAGCTAAGCTTGTTCTAAGTAGGTGCTTTAGACCACTGAGCCATCTCTCCAGCCCCTGAGGCTGCATTCTTAATCCTATTTCCACACAGCCTCAGACTACCACTTGTGCTGAGTTCCTGCAGAACAGAAGGATGTTACTTGGGAGGGGTACATTCCCCAGGCTCCAGAGCCACCCCCCCACAACAACCTGTTCTCACCCAGGTTTCTACTGGCTCTGGGTTCTTGGGTCAGTTGCCTTTCCCGTTTGGTCCTGTGGGATGGAATGTGAAGTGAATTGTGTGTTGTACAACAGTGTACTTCACAGTGGACATTAGGGAGGGAAAGCTATGTGGCTTCGGGTGAATCTGGTGACTGCTCTGAGCTTTTCCTGCAATAAACAGGAAGGACCAAGCCTTGTGCTCATAGGCAGTGGGGAAGAGAGGGCCCGATGTGACTGCTGTCCCTTCTTCCAGGGCTGGGTGTGGTCGCTGGCAGCCCAGGATCACCATGTGTGCTCTGGCTCCTGGGACAGTACCGTCAAGCTGTGGGACATGGCAGCTGATGGGCAGCAGTTTGGTGAGCTAAAGTACGAGGGTAGGGGGTCTAGCAGGGATGCAGGGCTGGCAGGGCCCTGCCTGGCTACTGGCCCAACATTGTGGGGGGTGTGTCCCCAGGAGCAAAGCGGCAGTGCTGTGCCTCTCCTACCGGCCTGACATCCTGGTGGCTGGCACCTATGACAAGAAGGTGACCATCTACGACCCTAGAGGTGGGCAGAGGGTCCTGAGATCAGATGGGGAGCACTGGGATGTTTGGGGCTTTGGAGTCATATTGAGAAGCTGATGAAGTCCCCCGGCCAGGTGCTTATCTTGAGAGCCACACAGGCAGGTGGGACAGGGGCACAAAGGAGGCCTGGTGGGCCCTGGTGGCCCCAGCCCTGTCACCCTAGGCAAGTTGGAGCCAGTGTTTCTCTCTCAATGGTACAGCATGTAGGGAGAACATGGGCGCCATTTCCATTGCTAGATCCAAATCCTTGTAAAGCTCCCAGCCCCAGAGTTAATGGCAGGAATGGTACTGAACATATTGGTGGAGCTGGTATGACTCAGTGGTAGAGCTCTGGTCTAGCATATGCAAGGCCTCAGTTCCATTCCCAGCACCAGGGGGAAAAACCACAGATTAAATAAGTTAGTTTCCATAAATCATCTAGAACAAGCCAGGTGTAGTGGTCTAGCACTTGGAAGGCTGTGGCAGGATGATCAAAGTGAGTTCAAGGGCAGCCTGGAGTATTGTATCTTTTTAAAATATTTATTTATTTATTTATTTTGTGTGTGTGTGTGGCCAGCTCAGCCCACCAGGGGGCGGGGCTGGCTGGCATGTGGTGCTGGGGGATTGAACTGCTGTCCCTGTGTTTTGCTTAGCTTAGCTTGTTCTAAGTAGATGCTTTAGACCACTGAGCCATCTCACCAGCCCCTGGAGTATCGTATCTTGAAATAAAACAAAACAAAACATCTACAACAAAGACTGCCTACACACAAGTTTTTTCTGTGTTTTGTTCCTCTTCCTCTTGTGGAATGAGGGTCGCTGAGTACCCTTTCCTACCCAGAGCTGCGGCCAGGCCTGGGATGGGAGTCGAGCTTTCTTAGCAGAGGACAGGAAGGAGCCAAGGCCTGGAGGTCCTAGATCCAGCTGGGAGAGAGCTAGGGAGACTATCAGCTGCAGGGTGGGGGCTGAGCAACCTGAGGGGCTCACCGGGACACACAGTGACCTGGGATCCCCCAAGAGGGCCTGGGATTCTCTGAGGGGCTCTGATGTCCCCCCTCCCTGGTCCACATCACCTGCCAAGCTGGCCCAGCCTTGCTAAAGAGCCGGCGGCTGCACTCGAGCGCGGTGCTGGCATTGCTGGCCGATGACAAGCACATCATCTCGGGCAGTGAGGACCACACCTTGGTGGTGTTTGACCGCCGCACCAACAGTGTCCTGCAGAGAATGCAGGTAGGCGCCTCCCTTCCCTTCTCCCCACCTCCCTAGGGCTGAGAGACCCAGCTACTGTCCCTAGCCCATCTGAGCCCCTCTGTCTTCTTGCAGCTGGACTCCTACCTGCTGTGCATGTCTTACCAGGAGCCCCAGCTCTGGGCTGGTGACAACCAGGGTCTGCTGCACGTCTTTGCCAACCGTGATGGTTGCTTCCAGCTTGTCCGGGTCTGTAGGGTCCTGTGCCTCCTTCCTACCCCCTCTTCCTGCCCCTGAGTGATGGTGGTAGAACTGTCCCTGACTGTCCCCCATGTCTCCTTCCACAGTCCTTTGACGTGGGCCACAAATCTCAGATCACAGGCATCAAACACTCTTTAGGAGCCTTGTACACTACATCCACTGACAAGACCATCCGGGTGAGGACAGCCGTCCACTGCGCCCCTCCCCCCCTGCTGACATTGGTCAGGAGATGCCTGCCTCCCAACCTCTGCCCATTGCTCCCCTACAGGTGCATGTACCCACGGACCCGCCCAGGACCATCTGCACTCGCAGCCACCACAATGTGCTGAATGGGGTAAGGCCTTGCCTGCACCCTACGCTGCCCCCAGAGCCCATGTACTGCCCCTGACTCCTCTATCCTGATAACCCAGATATGTGCTGAGGGCAATGTGGTGGTGGCTGCATCAGGAGGCTTGTCCCTGGAAGTCTGGAGGCTGCAGGCCTGAGCTCGTGGATGTGGATGTGGATATAGATGTGGATGTGGATGCTGCTCTACACTGCCAACAGGCAGGCTGAGCCTTGGCTTCTGCTCTTGGGGGACCTGAGCCCCCACTGGTGCTGCCTCTGCCTCTGACCCACAGGCTGAGGACCCACAGAGTGCCATGGCTGGGTGGGACTTCTTGGTTGGTCCCTGTGCCTGGGGATGTGACTTTGCAGTTCTGACCCACTTGGGGGCCTGCTCCCCACCCCTGGGCCCCATTTGGTTGTATGTCCCTGTTGAGAGCTCAGGAGAATAAACCTGATTGACTGCGCAGGTGCATGGCTCTGGAAACTTTGTGTGGAACACTGTGGCATGGGACTGAGTGGGAGCTGGTGGCCTGGGGTGCGTACATGCGACAGTCATAGCTGGGAGGGTAGCGCTGAAAACTCGGGGTGCCTGTGTCTATGTTGGTGCCTATGTGTGTGACGTGATCAAGTGGCTGTGTGCACATGTGTGCATGTGTGTGCATATTGTAACTGGAGCTCCAGATCTGTGTTTTCAGGGTGGTGACAGTGGCCGTCTGCCCAGGCCACTGTGAGATATAGAGAGGGGAGGCTGGCATTGTGGGCTCCAGGGTATGTGTGACCCTGATGGGGGTGAGGAGGAAGGTTGAACCCCACAAGCCCACAGTCCCTGCGCCGCCATCTTAGTTCCACCAGTCTGCACCCCCGAGGAGCAATCACTGTTTATTGAGGCTCACTTGGCTGGGGGTTGGGGGTGGCACTGCGTGGAGTCACAGGATGGTGCAGGGCTTCTTCTCCTTGAAAGGGTTGGTGGCGGCCGGGATGCCTACAAGGAAGGGGTCACTCTTGGCCTGCTCGGTGCAGAACTGCAGCAGGTCGGTGGCTGCCTTGGACACCTGCAAACCAAGCCACCTGGCTAGAGCCTGGGTCCCCTTCCCCCTCATCCAGGGGTGCCCACCTTGCCACCCCTGCACCCCCATCTGCTCTCACCTTCACACGCTCAATGCCTGCCTCCATCCGCAGCTGCTCTACGGCCCGGCGGGCCTGGCCGATGTCACTGCCAATGGCCACCTTGCTGGACATCTAGGGAGGGTGGGCAGAGTGTGAGCAATCCTTGGGCCACCTGAGGGCCCCCATGCTCCTCCCTTGTCGCCCTGGACCGGCAGTGCAGGTACCTCTCTGGAGAGTCCTGCAGATGCTGATGCTGATCCTCCTGCAGTGGCCACCCCTCTGGCTGTTGCCTGCAAAGCCCAGCCTCTCCACCCCTCTCCTCCCCACCTGCAGAGACTTTGAAGTCAGGACCCAGTGAAATGTCACCATCAGCAGCAGCAGCTGCCGTGGAAGAGGGGCTCCCTGGCCCAGGAGACCCAGAGACTGGTCTGGTGTCACATGGGCACCCCCTGGGTCCCATGCCATCTGAGGGAGCCTGCAGCTTACTCTGAACTGCCAGGTCCCCTGCTAACTGTCCCCACCAGCCTTTGCCACTGCAGCGGCACACAGAGGGCTCCCAGCTCTGGTCCCCTGCACTCTGGTCTGTGCTGTCCACACTGCCTGGAGTTGCTCTCTGACGACTTGATCCACTGCCTGGTGCCTATGGTGCCTTGCTCTTTGCCTCCACCCACCTCTCCTTTGAGCCTTAGACCGCAGGGCTTCTCTGTCCTCAGTCGCACCCCCTCCAGTTGTTCTCTACTCTCCTGGCCATATGCCACCCTGGCCTGTGTCCCCTGATCCCAACTATGCAGGCTCGATCCCAGTGCTTCCCACCCCCTCTGGTGCCTTTTTGTCTCAGGTACCATCAGAGCAGCCTGAAAATTAAGCTCAGTGTGGCCCCTGCTCTCACTTTTGTGCCACCTGGGCCCATGCCCACCCTTGCTCCTCGGTCACCTGCTTCAGGATCACCAGCTAGCCCTGGGCATCTGTGCTCACTGCCCTGCACCCTTCCTGGTTGCGCTCTTAGCGTAAGCAGCCAATGCAACAGTTAAAAACAGAGTCTCTTAATCCTTTTTTGTGGCCCCTTTTTGTGGCACTGGGGATTAAACATACCTACTACCTTTTATTCAGTTTTAAATTTCTTTTTGTTTTTTGAGATAGGGTCAAACTTTGTAGTGTGTTCTAGCTGGAATAAATTCACTATATAGCCCAGGCTGGCCTTTGAACTCTTGGCGATCCTCCTGCTTTTTTTTTTTTTTTTTGCAGTACTAGGGATTGAACTCAGGCCCTTATGCTTGCCAGACAAGCACTTACTCCACTGAGCTATCTCCCCAGCCCAATCTTCCTGCTTTAGCTTCTTTGAGTGTTGGGTTACAAGTGTACGACACCATGCTCCGGCCACTATTTTACTTTGTTTTTGTTTTTGTTTTTAATTTTATTTGTTTATTTAGTGTGTGTGGCCAGCTCAGCCCACCAGGGGGTGGGGCTGGCTGGCATGTGGTGCTGGGGGATTGAACCATGGTCCCTGTGCTTTGCTTAGCTTAGCTTGTTCTAAGTAGGTGCTTTAGACCACTGAGCCCTCTCACCAGCCCCACTATTTTACTTTGGAATAGAATCTTGCTAAATTACCCAGGTTGCAAGCTCAGACTTTCAATTTCCCTACCTCAGCCTTCTGAGTAGAAAGGGCCTTTTTTTCCTGGCAGAACCGGGGATTGAACTCAGACCCTTGTGCTTGCCAGGGAAGTGCTTATTCTACTGAGCCATCTCCCCACCCCCCCATTTAAAAAATTTTTTTAAGATAGGGTCTTGCTGTGTAATCAAGGCTGGTCTTGAGCTCATTGTGTAGTCCGGGCTGGCCTCAAACTCACAGCAGTCTACCTGCCTTGGTCTTCTGAGTGGTAACCATGATATGTGCCATCATATCTGGATATGCTTCCAGTCCTTTTGATTCATTTGTGTGTGTGTGTGTGTGTGTGTGTGTGTGTGTGTGTGTGTGTGTGAGAGAGAGAGAGAGAGAGAGAGAGAGAGAGAGAGAGGAGAGTGCCTTGGTATATAGCTCAGGTGTCCCTGAAGTCACTGTATAGCTTAAGCTGAATTACTGGCATGCACCTTTTAATCTTAGTTTTCTGAGACAAGGTCTTGCTAAACACTAGGTGGCCCAGGCTGGGCTGCAGTTTGGAATTGTTTGGCCTTTAGAATAGCTGGGATTATAGGTATGCACCATCCTGTTGGTGAGACAGGGTCAATTTTTAAAAATCTGTCATTTGTTTATCTGGCACAGGGTCTTGCTATGAAGCTCAGACTTGTAGTGATCCTCTGAGACAGGGTCTTCTTAAATTGTCCAGGCTACTCTTACATTTGCAAACCCCATGGCTCACTCCCCTGAGTAGCTAGGATTACAGGGAGATACCACCATGCCCAGCTATGAGTCTCATTTTATTTTCTCTTTAAAGACCCTCTCCAAACACAGTCACTTCATGAAGTACTGAGAGGCAGAGCTTCAACGAATTCTATAGGACCTAACTCAGCCCATACCAAGCATATTTACTGTTTATCTGTGGGACTGAGAGTGAACCAGGACCTCACATACAGTGGCCAGACACTGTGTCATTAAGCACAGGCTCAGCCTTTCTGTGTGCCCAACACTGCAGGAAACAAAAACCAAAGACACCAGTGAAACAAGGAACGATCCTGCCTCACAGAGCTGCTGTTCTGTTTATTTATTGAATTGATTGATTTGATTGATTGATTTTCAGATGGTTTCACTATGTAGCCCAGGTTGGCCTTGAACTTTTTGCCTCCCAAGTCCTGATCTAAGAGTTGTGCACTACCATGTCAGCTAGTCCTGGGATCTTACTGGGAGGGGACAGCTATCTCTAGAGGGCTTTTGCCCTGATGTGTCTGATTTATTTTTATTTTTTTTGGTATTTGAGACAAGTTTGTTTACTCAAAATAGCCTTAATTTTTAAAATATTCAACATCCTATAGCAACTGAGAGCTTGATCAACCTGTGACCCCAGGTCCTAGTGGATACAGTGTGCTCACAAGGACAGTCTATGTGGAAGAGGCCAGGTGGGAACAGCCTACAGGCACACGCGGGCAGCCCACACAGGGGACCATGAGCCGCATGCTCAGGAGCACATTAGGACCACTGGGAGAAGCAGTCCTGGCCCCCACCTGGCAGTCGCCCCAGGACCAAGGCTCATGCCAGCCTGCCCAGGGGCCTTCCGATCCTGCACCACGCCCCTTCTGCAGTCTTGGCCAGATGCTGATGAAATCCTCATCCAGAGAGAGGAACTGCAGCAGCAGCAAGGAGGCTGGGGCTCAGGTCTCCCTAGAAGGTGACTGAGACTGTGCCCATACATCCATCTGTCTGTCTCCAGGGGCTGGCAAGAGAGAGAGGGGACATCCATGTGAGCCAGGCAGACCAACAGGACAGGGAGGTGTGGAGGACGTGTTAGGTGAGCCTTGCCCTTCAAGGAGACGGAAGCCAACTGAGGCCAAGACACAGGAGCCTCAGGCAGCGGGAGCTGTGTGTCCAACCTGTCTCACCTGCTACTCCACAGTTACTGCACCAGCCGGTAGGTGATGTACCTGCCTGCTGTCTCACTGGGCCGGATGATCTTCACAACCTGCCCTTGCTTTATCCCAAAGTAGCGGGCCACGGGGTCCTCTGCTTGGATATGGGCAGCTGGTTCTCCCAGAGCTTATATCTGGCCAGCAGCTCTGAGACCTCCTCCTTGGTCATGACAACGTGCTCTGGGACAGGCTAATGCTCCATGATGTTGATCAGCAGCTCATGCTGCAGGAATTGCTCCAGGACATACTTGGGTGCCATGTCTACCAGGGACTGCTTGGCAGAGGGCGTCATGCCCTGCTGTACCATGATGAGTGCGTGGGTGATGGTCTCCTGCATGCGCTGGCAGTACACCTTGATGGTCGTGATGCCCACCTTGGGTTCCTCTGGGAAGAAGACAAACATCTGGTCCATAGGGTCATCATTGTGGGCCACCAGCATGGTAAGATCAGTGCATCGTGGACGCCCCTCACTTGGCTTGTCCCCAAAGTGGGCTTTGAAATCCTCCAATGTCTGATCCAACTCATCTTGGGTCACAGGTAGCCACAGTCATGGCACAATTGCACGATCGTCTTGCGGATTTTCCAGAGACGATAGGTCTCCTCCTTGTTGTCCAAGGTGCCACTGCTCGCACAACACCACGCATGCGCTACTCAAGACCCGTGCACCCTGATTTATGTTTAAAGAATGCTGTTAGGGGCCAAGGAGATGGCTCAGTAGGATAAGTGCTTCCCTGGCGAGGGCAAGGGCCTGAATTCAAACCCTGGTTCTGAAAAAAAAAAAAAAAAAAATACTGTGGTCTCAGCTGGGAGATGGGTTGTTGGGGAGGGAACCTGACTGGGGACCATGGATCAGCGTCCTGTTTACAGGCAACAGTTGGCAGATATGCTAGCAGGTAATGCAGAAGGAGAGATCTCACGCCTGTAATTCCAGCATTTGAAAGGCTGAGGCAGGAGGATCACCAGGAGCTTGAGGGAGCCCAGGCTACATAGTGAATTCAAGGTTAGCTTGAGCTATATAGGGAGACAGTGTCTTGAAACACCAGAGACAAAAATCAAGGGCCGGGGGCCAGGCATATAGCTCAGTGGTACAGCACCTACCTGGCAAGTGTGAAGTCCTGAATTTGATTCTCAGCAACAATAATGGAGAAAGAAAAAGAAAAAAAAAATAAATAAAATCAAAAGAATCCAAAATTGAAGGACTTCCAGGCTGGGAGTGTTGTTAATCAGTGCAGCACATGCTTTGGATCCCCACCATGGCAAACAGCCCCAGGCAGGTGTGGTGGGACATATCTATAATTCTAGCCCTAGAGAAGCTCAGGCAGGAGGATTAGGAGTTTAAGGATTGAATGTGGTGACATAGTAATCCCAGCAATGAGGAGGCTGAAGCAGGAGGATCACTGTGAGTTCAAGACCAGCCTGGGCTACAAAATGAGCTCTAGGCCAGCCTGAGCTATATAGTGAGACCTTCTCTCAAAAATACAAAAAAACAAAAACAAACCCCATAAAACAAAAACACACACAAAAACAAAAAGCCCTTCAATTTCCTTGTTCTTATTTTTCAAAATTTTATGATT